TCAAAATTCGGCCATTTATTTCCAATAAATGCCATAGTTAGCACTGAAATAGCTCGAAACCTTCTTAATTGGATCTCACACCATGGTATCCCAAAGAAAATCACTTTCGATCAGGGTACCGAATTTAAAAATGGTCTAATTGAACAATTTTGCCAAATTTATAATATTGAAATTCATTATATTACTCGACAACATCCGAATAGCAACAGCCCAGTAGAAAGATTTCACTCAACAATTATCGAAGGTCTACGTGTTTTGCGACAAGAAAAACCAAAAGCCCCTATTTTCGAATTAATCGATTATGCAACTCTCTTCTATAACAATTCTATACACTCGGCATTAGATTATACTCCCTTTCAAGTGATAAAAGGTCGACTAGACTACGTTTCCCCATTTGAACTTCATCCCACTCAGGTAGTAGCCGATTGGATTGACGAACATACACAAAATGTAAAAATTCTTAATCAACAAATTCGACAAAAATTAGGGCAGAAACAAGATCAAATTTTAGAGTCGCGAAATCAGAATCGAGATAGGATTGATATTAATCACGATGAACCACTCTTTATAAAAGGTGGAAATTTAAGCCGTAGATGGAAAGTAAAAACGCATCCCTTATACAAACGAGTAGAAAACCCAGTAACAACAACCGAATTCAAAATAAATGATAATAATAAAATCTATTATTACGACAAATTAAAACCTCAACGGTATATTGCAAATTATAATGAAACTAACTGAAAAAAAAAAAATATATATATATACATAATCCATAACTCATAATTTCTATATTCAAAATACGCATAGTTTTCCTCAATATCTCATTCTCCTTAATACCCATTTATCCTAGCAAACCTAACAGTATAAAGCAACACAAAAGTAATAAAAATACTCTCTTGCAACGATTTTTTCAACTAGACAGTGAAGTGCTTCGTATTAAATGCAAACGATCCTTGTGTAATGGTAAATAATTGTTAACCAACTATGTTCGACCCTAAGTGCACATAAACCCATTTTTCTGCGAATGCATTTAATGATAATATTAAGTTTTAGTTTTAGCATTATTATTTTTATTTTTTTTGTATCCACATTTATTGTTATTAGTATTTTTAAGATATGTAGTTTATTAATCATTTTTATTGTTAATTAAATAAATAAAAAAAAAGGGACTTTGTAAATAAATATTTGCAATTGTGCCCTTATTTTTTTGCTTAATGAGGGAGGAGTTATGTTATATGTCATTTCACACCTTTCTTAAAAGCATTCTCTAGTTAGGCCCTTTACTTTAGGATATTAGTTTTAAGTATCTTTAAGTATTCATAGATGCATGAGAATTTTATGTATTTTTTAGTTTTCAAGACCATTCTAAAAATTGTGAGCAACGAACGTAGTCGTTCACTGAATTTTTGTTTCACCTAATATATAAATACTTAAGTAAAGTATATAGTTTTTTTTGCTAAATTTATCAACGAATAACTTAATTACGTACTGACATTTGTTTGGAGTTCCGACATTGGCGACTCGTCTATAATCATAATATTATAGTAATAAACTAGTTTTGTTCTTTAATTCGTTCAATTAAAATTTAATAAATAATCACTAAATATTCCGTGCGATTATAATTAATATAATCAATACATCGTGATTGCTTTGTATGAAATGCTAAATTAATTTTATTATTTGACGTCACCTATGGATTTACTTCTATCCATAGGCCTTTTTGAGTTTTTTGTCTGCCGCTAATAAAAAAGACGCACTTCAATTATCTCTATACATGCATATAAGTTTGTATATCATGGCATATTTATGGCGCAAACCTATTCTATAGGATGTCCTTTAAAATCAGATCAATTTTTAAAATTTACCTGTACCTAAAAAATATAACTAACTAGTAGGGGCAGGGCCGGCGACAATAGCGGTGCTCGCGGGCTCAAGCACCACACGTAAAGGAAAATGGTGGTGCTCAGCACCACACGTATCTTCAGCAGAAAAATTGCATTTCTTTTGCGGTCTCTAAATTTTTTATCCTGGTAGCCAGGGATACACACTAACACCCTCTACAAATTTACGGTTGAAGCTGAGGAATCCAATTTAAAGTATCAAAGTCGGTCGGTATAGTATGTATAAGTGTATGTATCTTGGTATAGTAGGAATAACATACCGACACGTCGCAACGTGTATTTAGGGTATTTAGGGTATTTCTACCGACGGTAACCGACCAAACTTTGAGTTATATTATTATTATTATTATAATATATTTACAGTTCGTGCAGTTTGTTTATTATCTCTGAGTTCCTGTTTGCTACCACCAATTTTGTTAGTGGATAGATACCCGACTTTTTATCAACAAAGGTAAGTTCGAATCCTAGAGTAACTCTGTTTTAATTGTCTCTCGTAACGCATTTTTGATGCTGGTAACCCTTAATCCAAGAAATGGCAGGTGGTAACCCTTAAAACGTCCGATGTGGCAGTAATATACCTATCCCATTCGATTCCATTACAGGATGAGTTTTTTAACTTGAAACTTTAAAATATCTCGCGTAATAAGCACTGTTAAAAAAACTATATAAACTAAATTTAATAATTCCGGGGGAGATATATTAGTGCCATAATTAGTAGTGTGCTCTCCCTCCCATACAGCACATACATTGGACGTTTGGATGTACAATGGTCGTCCGCTGGACGTCCAATGGATATATGTGCTGTCTGGGCTGTATATAAAATCCCTGTTGTAAATGACCGATTAATTCCTGTAGAAACCAATTGAAGTATTGTTTGGTATCAATGGATCTGAATTGGACTTACTGGATTTAATTGGGCGCGATATAAAACAGAAATTGGTTTTTACTGGTATTTTCCATGATGGAAAAGTCAAATTAGGATTCTAATGGTTTTTATTGGTTTCGATTGGATAAAGCTACCTATAGGTAATTTCCAATTGAATTCAATTGGGCATTCCCAGTGTAAGATTCGAAAAATCTGCTAATTGGTTATTCCCAATACAATACAAATATCGCAAGAGGGCTCTCGTGTAGCTGCGCAAAATCAACGAGGTTGAGACGCCATCATAAAGAAAAAACAACAAGTCTTTGGACGCCATTTATTAGCGGTTTTTTTTATTAGTCGATTTCAGTGCCTAGTGTTAGTAGTGTACTATATATTAAAAAAATGTTTATATGTGTAAGGTTTAAACCTAATTAGGGACGATGGCGTAAGAATGTAATTTTTACCCGGTTATCCTTCTGGGATCTAAAATTATTTTTGAATGAAAAATAAACTGGCAGGTATTTTCTAATCCAAATTTTAAAAAATTAATGGGTTGGAATGGGTTTGGCGCTATAAATTACCAATTCATTCCATGTGCATTTCTATTGGATTTAGCCAATAGAGACAAGCATAGGCATGGATTGGTATTTTCCAATTCAAGCCGCTGACTTCATTGGAAATTACCAATAGGAATTCAACTGGAATGAATTGTTGATTCATAGCGCCAAAACACATTTCAAACCAATTCAAACCAATTACTTATTTTTTATTGGATTCTATTGGTATTTTCCAATTCAAGCCGTTGACTTTATTGGAAATTACCAATAGGAATTCAACTGGAATGAATTGGTGATTCATAGCGCCAAAACACATTTCAAACTAATTCAAACCAATTACTTATTTTTTATTGGATTCTATTGGTCATTTACAATAGGGATGTCACTGAGTTTGATAAATAAATTGACTAAAAAACTATTCCAATTTTATTTTGTTCTCCTTTCCGCAACCCCCAAGGAAAAGAACACCCACACCCCCCATCAGTGGTGGCTGGTGGATTTTGGGTATACCGATATCTCAATTATTAGATATGGGACCCACACCAAATAAATATAGGTAATATAAATTTAATTGGTGCAATTTATTATTTACCATAGTTTATCGACAAATTTCAAATTTTATTAAAAAAATCCAAATAATACAGATTTTATATCATTTTAAATTTTTATAATTTCTTTGAAAAAAAAATATTAAAAATTTAAAATGGTATAAAATCGGTATAATTTGGATTTTTTAAATGAAATTTGAAATTTGTCGATAAATTATGGTAAATAATAAATTGCACCAATTAAATTTATATTATATTTATTGGGGGCGCCATGGGGCCGGTACGGCCGAGCAAAAATTTATCTTTTTCTCGCAAACTTCAAATTAAATTCTGCTTGCGCAGAACTTGTTTATTTAATGTCATTATAAACTCATATAAATTTGGTGTGGGTCCCATATCTAATAATTGAGATATCGTTATACCCAAAATCCACCAGCCGCCACTGCCCCCCAACCATTAACCACTGCTACCAACAACTGTAGATGAGCACCACACGTCAAAATGAAAAGCTGCCGGCCCTGAGTAGGGGATCCAAGTCCCGGGACCAAAAGGCCAATCAGGACCCGGCTGAAAAGTCCCGAATATGGCAAGTGGGTAGATCTTTACCTTGTTTACGATATGACTCGCACGAATGGTAAATAAAACAACTATCTATCATGAAAAAAAAACTTTGCTAGTGCATAACAAATAAACATGTAACATAAAACAAAAACTTAGTAGTAGTACCTACCTATATTAAATTATAAGGAATTGAATGCAAAAAAAATTGATGGCCTAAAATATTTTTATTTTCCCAAAATAGACTTATTTATGTGACACCTGGATTTTTTTTGCCTGCTGCGCTTCTTCTATACAGGTTCACCAAAATTTGTAATCAAACGCCCCTTTGGATACTCAATTTTAATACTAAAACACAATGCTACAAGATAAAAAGGTAAGTAAGAATTTTCTATATAAAAATCTTAAAATTCGTATATTTATTTTTTAATATTTGAACAATGGAACGTGTTTTTAGCTATAGATGCCAAGTTTAGGAAAAAGGTGGCAACTCACCATAAGAAAATATTTAAGTTAGGAATTTTTTAAGAGAAACCAGTTCCTAAGAATAACGCATTGTTGAGAATCTTTCATGGATATATCTCAAACATTTGACAAAGCGGAGCTAGATTTGCCCAATAAGGGTCTTAAGTTTGCACTTCCTTCTTCGGTCCGGGCTTTGGAGGCTGTTGTTGCACATGTTGAACGCTTCGTCCAACTGTGTAATAAAGCATCAAGAGGTTTTGTCAGAGAGGCGTGTAGGCTCAAGATTCAACAAAACCAAAGAATCATTCTCTTTTTCCAAATGTCCCAGTACCACTTGACTTATTTAGAGGATTTTCTAAAAGAAAATAGTTTTTCCAATGAGACTGTTGCTGAATACTTAAAGTTAGCATCAGTCTGCATGCGGCAAAACTGTTTTCAAGTCAACGGTTGCTTCTATAAACAGCAGGAAGGGACTGCTATGGGCCGCTTTGAGAAGGAACTTGGTAGCTCGGGGTATTTTCTTAGAATTTGGTTAAGATACGTGGATGATATATTTGCTATTTTCGATGAAAACGCTTTCAGCTTAGATGATTTTGTTTTCAAATTGAATAATTGTATTTTCTCTTTTAAATTCACCTTTAAATTGGAAAAAGATGTCCAGCTACCATTTTTAAAATCCCTAGTGATTAGATCTAACAATACTATAGAGTTCGATATTTACAGAAAACCTACAAGGTTTTGGTTAGAGTCTGAAGTAATGTTAAGTTCAGTTTACATTACTGTAGACTCGAATCACTGCACACAACAGAAGCAGGATAGTTTTAACTTTCTTGTTCGTAGGTTGTTAAACTTTTTACTTAGTAAGAGTTGCCCGACATATAATATGATGATGGTCATAGAATAGGATTTGACCTTAAACTTATTAAGGAAGTCAGGGAACCAAGTCTGCTAGATAGTAAGGAAAGTTTATACAATTATAAGAATAAAAATAAATCTTTAAATAGCGATAACGGACCGGTACCCAACTCAACAGTTTGTATAAATTAGTTTTTTAGTTTCTCTTTACGTGTTAACTGAAGCAAATACGGTCCACGGTTTAGTAAACTATGTCCGTTTACGGTTCAGTTAACTTTAGCTTATAATTAGTATAAATATGGTAGATTTAGAAGTTAGATTTAGTTACACTTCGCTTCTGAAGATGCCAACATCATTGGCGAAATGTACTTTAAGCACTTTGTGTTTTGATTTGGTGTTGGGGAATATTTCTAATATGTGTTTAACATATCACCAAAGTTGTCCTTTTTTAAGTAAATACTCTATATTTTTTTAATCAGGATCATTGTTAATATAGCTATGATCCTGCTTTAAAAAAAATACAATCGTTTACAATTTTTAAAATTCAAAGTGCAGTTACCTGAACAATTTTTTTCCAATTTTAATAGAAGAAGCTACAATCTGCCAATCTAAGAAAAATTGTTACGATGACACTCAAAATAACCGCTCGTGTCTAAATTTATATAAACGGTTATTTTTGTTCCTAGCGCTTGTACGAATTCTTAAAAAACTTCTGTAAATACCAGTAACTAATAAATTTTTGGATATCTAATATTTATTTCAAAAAATCATTACATTTATTTTAAAAATACGTTTTGTATATTATTTTATCTACGCCAGTGAGATAAGAACTTCTTATCCCACTCATTTTGAGTGAGATAAGAAGTTCATTAACGCACGCGTTTTTCTCTGCTTTTAACCAATCAAATAAAAAAGTCAAAATGTCAAAATAACCCTAAATTAAGTCTTAGACAAAAATAATTACCGTTTATTTTTTCCATTTAGAGGCGTAGATAAAAATTTGTACAATATACGTGTGATAACGCTTTATTAACGTACTTTGCTACGCACTCGTTGGGCAAATTTCGCATGCGTACGTTAATAAAGCTCTTATCCCACTTATATAATCGTAAATAACTATTATACATTTTGTTAATGTGGGTCATTTTTTTTTATTAAAAAACTGGTATAAATACATATTTTAAACTTTTCTTTTATTCTGTTGTAAAAAGTGATTACTGAGACTTTTAAAAATAGCTAAAATATTGCGTTTTGCCTGCTGAAGGGTTAATTTTTATATGCCGTATTTGACAAAATTGTTTTTAAATTCCTTTTATTTACATTTATTGAAGCGCGTTAGTTTATTACACTTAATTATTATCAAAATTTTGGAATATTATAAAAAATAGACCTCGGACAATTCCACACATAACTGACGCATAAAAACATAAAATGTTCAACTTATACTGTAATGGTTCAGTACTTTAATACGTTTTACAAATCTATTTTAAAGTAAAATTTGTATTTTCTTAATTGTGTTAAATGCAGAAGGGTTAGGAAACAGAGGTAAAAGGGACGCTTAGGTAAAGAAATTACAAGTTTTTGCCTAAAAATCTGGTGGCCAGATGATGCGAGAAACGATAGTCCAGGTATATGAAGCGAGTAAAGGGAAGCAAGAAAACAGGTAGAAAGTATTTCAAACTAATATCGATGTGATAGAGGTTTGTTGCTTAAAAAGGAGTATTAACCGTTTTTAAACTTTGAATGCTCCTTTTTCTTTAGTGCATGTGCCATAAAGTAGATATTAAAATGCTCCACACTGTAAGGGATAACTGATCACCTTGGTTCTCTAGTCGACATTGCAACTTTTATCCCGACCTTTAATCTTTAGGCCAGATGTTTCTAGTGCGAACCTCGTTCCCCACAGGGCAACGTTGACGTTGACATACTAATTCTCGAGTTAAGAGAACGCTATTCTCATAGGAGAAGTGGGCGTTTTTCTCAAGTTTTGACAGGCTGCATTATTGAATTTAAGATAAGTTAGTGCGTTCTTCTCTCGGAAACTATTTTCTGCTTTAGGAGAACCAAACTATTGCATGATTTTAAGAATGCAGCCTGTCAAAACTTAAGTGAAACACGCCCACTTCTCATGAGAATAGCGTTCTCTCAACTCGAGAATCGCCCCCCTGTTAGCTTAAGTAACGAGCGTTGCATCATCACATTAATTTGCATAGACTTTTTAAAGAAACAATGCCTAATCGTGTATACTTTTCTACTTCATAGCTGAACAGGGTTTTTTTTCTTGGAAGACTATATTAATTTATTTCTGTAAAAAAACTTAGAAATTCCTACTCCTTCGGGTGGAGGCCAGGTTTCCCTCGAATATATGGAGCCGAATTAGATAGGCTTGCACATATGAGTACATTAGATGCAAAACTCGGTTTTTGCAAATTAAAAAAAAAAAAATTGGCTTTAAATTCTGTTTGGTGTTCGTCCTAGATAAATGGCGTTTATAAAACTTGATACATAATAATATATATAATATAATATTATTATGTATCAAGTTTTATGAACGCCATTTATCTAGGACGAACACTAAACAGAATTTAAAGTCAATTTTATTTTATTTTTTAATTTGCAAAAACCGAGTTTTGCATCTAAGGTACTCATATATACTCGTGTATATATATATATATATATATATATATATATATATATATATATATATATATATATATATATATATATATATATATAAATATATATATTAGGGTGTGCCAAAAAAACTCGATATTTCTTTTTTCTTGCTCTCCACCCAAAATCTGGTAGAATATGTCCGAACAAATATTCTGTTAAAAGCGGAGCTCATAATTTCAATTTTAAGAGGTCCCTCATCGAATCTGAAGTTTTTCCGCTTAAATAACACAGAAAACTGACTTTTTTACCTTATTTATTCTTGCAACCTAGGAAGAAATTTTTTTTTCATAAAATCCATGACCAAATCTTACAAACCATTAAATTTGGACGAAAAAATCTTATTAAGCCAAATTTCTATTTTCATTATTTGATTTTTTACAGAGCTTTAAATTTAAAATTTTACGTTTTTTGCCTTTTTCAGCTAAACTATTGAAGTTAGACGAAAAAGTCAAATGGCAATTTTTTAGCTTGTCTGATGGACCACAAAAAAGTTTTAGGCGAATTTTTTGTATCGTCAATATTCTAAAAGTTACAGGCGTATAAATTCATCATTTTTGTATTATTAACTTAAATTTAAAGCTCTGTAAAAAATCAAATAATGAAAATAGAAATTCGGCTTAATAAGATTTTTTTTGTCCAAATTTAATGCTTTGTAAGAATTATTCATGGATTTTATGAAAAAAAAATTTCTTCCTAGGTTGCAAGAATAAATAAGGTAAAAAAGTCAGTTTTCTGTGTTATTTAAGCGGCAAAACTTCAGATTCGATGAGGGACCTCTTAAAATTGAAATTATGAGCTCCGCTTTTAACAGGATATTTATTCGGACATATTCTACGATATTTTGGGTGGAGAGCAAGAAAAAAAAATATCGAGTTTTTTTGGCACACCCTAATATATATATATATATTAGGATATATATGGGCAATTCCACGTGAATTCGACAAGAAAAAACGAACGACCAATAATTTTTCTTATCTTGAAATAAGCTATTTGAAATAAATAAATTTTTGATGCTGTGGCATATTGGCACACTATGTTTTGTTTCTTCGAAAACTAAAAATCCATTTTCAACACTGTTTGTATTTTTTTTGTTTTTAATCTCTAAGCGACTACAAGTTTATTTATCTATATTAGATCGTGGCTATCAAAAATATTTTTTTCGGAATTTTTAATTTTTATTTTTTCCACTTTCGGACAGTTTGTAATATCAAAAATGATTTTTTTTAATTAATCTTTTTATATTTAGCCCTTTTAACTATTAAAACTGTTTAAAAAAAAATTATTATTATTAATTATTTTAAGATTGAAAATCAATGAATCAATCATTTTACTATATATTCATAGGCACTACTCTTTAATTTTTTTTAAACAATTTTAATGGTTAAAAAGGCTAAATAAAAAAAATTATTTTTGATATTACCAAATGTCCGAAAGTGAAAAAAATAGAAATTATTAAAATTTAAAATTCCGAAAAAAATATTAATTTTTCGATAGCCACGATCTAATATAGATAAAAAAAACTTATATTCGCTTAAAGATTAAAACAAAAAAAATTAAAATTAAAAAAAAAATACAAAAAATGTAGAAAATGGATTTTTAGTTTTCGAAGAAAAAAATCATAGTGTGCCGATATGCCTCAACATCAAAAATATTTATTTCAAATAGCTTGTTTCAAGACGAGAAATTAATTGGTCGTTCTTCGAAATCGCTCAATTGAAACCAAAGTTATGATCGGTGACATATTGGCACAATCGTTATAATCATGAAAATTTAAAAAATTATATCTCCAAAAACAATTGACAAACCGTGCTAAAATTAAAATTGAATTTTTATTTTGAGTCAGGGAACTCATGGAAAAATTGTCAAGGAATTTTGAAATCGCAAGGGTTTTTTTCGTGACGAATTAACGTGGAATTTCCCATATGTATATTATTTTATTTATATCATTAATAGTACAAGGTATTTGACACGCACAAGGGATAATTCGTTTTTTGGCTAGTCCTCAGCGCTATGACTACTTTAGTTTTTTTTGCGTATAAGTCTGCGTAGGATTGGGCAAATTTTAAACTGTGGGAACCTATTTTATGCAGAATTTAATTTTTCACAACTTTTATATGCAACACTTTTTATTTAAAGTTGTAGTTTTTAAGTTACAAGCGTTAGAACATGAGCATAAATCACTGTTCAGCCAAGTTGCTAAAAATTTCCGATTTTTGACGATCG